GATTGTTTTGAATTAGCCAATCAGATAGCCTGTATTCGAGCCCCTGATCGCTTTAGCGATCAGAACTCCCCACAGATCGCGCAAAAATTGAGATAGCCAATCAGATGGCTGGAATCTGACTCAGAGCGTGCAAAACTAATGGGTAAGACCGCTTTTCTGCGCGTTCATGTTCGAAGGCCTTGCTACTGAATGATGTTTCAAAACTGGACTGTTAAACTTTCAATACATTACACTGCGCGAAGCTTGATAACTGGACTGCTATTTTAATTTAACAATTTTCCATTTTTTTGGCCAATTTTTACCTTAGTCGTGTGATCGCTCTGATCACCCCTAGATCCGCCCCTGAAATTATCAGTGAAGAATGAAAAAATTATTATAGCGTTACGTTTATTCCTTACGACCATACAGCGATTTAGATAGGAACTAACCATCCCTTGCTCAATATTTAAAGGGCAGTATGATCAAAATTTTTATTTTGTTAAACGAAAGTGCTCGTAAAACTGTATAATAACTTGTTTTGAAGATTTTTGTTCCCATGCTTAGTTCTTGAGATATTTCATTTTGTTTGTAACCATGTGACGTAATCTACTCAATTACATATATAATGAGATATCAGTAATTGTTGTGTATCTTTGCTATTTTTATCAAAATATTTCGAAAGATGAGGCGCGTTTGTTAATTTAAACTGCATCATTAAGCATACTGTGTTTTTTAACAAATCGATCAAAAATAGCAAAGATACACAACAATTACTGATATCTCATTATATATGTAATTGAGTAGATAACGTCACATGGTTACAAACAAATGAAATATCTCAAGAACTAAGAGTGAGAACAAAAATCTTTAAAACAAGTTATTATACAGTTTTACGAGCACTTTCGTTTAAGCTTTGGTTTAAGATATTTTTGGTTTAAGAAAAATTTTGATCATGCTGCCCCTTTAATTGACCCGACACCTTTTGGCGACTTGACTTATGCAAGCTGTTTAGAGCAACCTAGAAGCAGTATAGCGACTCAGGGATTGCTTTATATGATAGTCCTTTTCTTGAAGAAGAATGAAAAAATTATTGTTAGGATGGGTGAATGCTTTGTGGAGTTAGAGCCATTCGAACACGAACGCGGAACGCCATGCCTCTGGCTCCAGATTTAATCCGAAACTGGAGCTGCGAATCTGAAACTGGAGCTGACTGGCTTCTCGTGTGGCTTGCACGATCCACACTATAAATTTGTGGATGTTGCTACAACACCAAAATGGTGTAATTGTTGCAGCTCTCTATATAGACACTGATTTAGTGTAAATGTTAATCATTTACTGTTTGTGTTAGGGAAACACCAAATTCACAACCAATAAGTGTTGCACGAAACACCTTATTAACTTAATGGTGTTGAAATAATTTGGCTTGCTGTAAAACAAGGACTGGACTGGACTAGACCCGGATCGGTTTGGACTGGAGTGAACCGGGAAAACGCGGACTGAGTCCGTGTTTTACAAATCGCGGACTGAATTTGTAAAACACGGACTGGACTGGATAATCATATCCTGGAGCTAAGGTTGGTATAAATTACTATTACAGTAGTCCCCCGCTAACTCAAACTCGCTTAACTCGAACTCCTCGCCAATTCGAACAAATTTTGTTTTACCTTGGTCAAATTTATCCCGTCAACTCGAACTTTGATTTCGAGTCGTGGATCGGCAAACCTTAAAATGTCGGCTATTAGTAAAACACGGAGTACGGAGCACGGAGCACACGGAGCACACGGAGAACGGAAGAGCAGAATGTCAGAAAAACGAAAAATCCTTTATAATAAATACACTGTTTACTATTACAAATTTTTGTTCTTATTAATAAAGTTTTACACGTTGTGGAAGTAAGAAAATTGGGCTTTTATAAAACACGTATGCAAAACTGCCAAAAGCCATAGTTGTATTTAAATTAAAATAGGATTGTGAAACTCGTTATCTTGCATCTATCAAGCTTATGTAGTTATCTTTATAATTTACTCTCTATATCATATTATATTATATTCCGATGGCCAACGCATAAAGAAACACTTCAGAGGAAACACTTATAGACTGACAGCCGATATAGTTCGTTACTCCTGCCAAAAAATAGCCAAGTATACTAATCTTTTAATGTAGCGGATCGACTGAACATTAAATCTTGTGATGAGAAAAGTGAATTTTCGGTTTATCCAGTGAGCTGTACGGCCTACGTTTAAACTGTTATACAGTACATCATTACTGCTTTCATTCTTTCAATCCGTTTTGAATATTCGGAATCATTCACAATATATATTATAAAACGGTAGGATAGCTGTAGAACTATAAATGCTGTAGAATAAAGTAAATCAGTAAAGAAAACTAAGTTTTATCGCGGTATTTGCCGATAAATCGGTAATCGCTACAGAAAAACAGAACAAATCACATGCAGTAATGTCTAATGAGTAAATCACAACAAACCGCGGAAGTGGGACAATTTTTGTATTTTCACTGTAAGACATGTAGAACATGTACGAAATCCATACAGAAGTGTGTGTGTATTCTATACTTTTGAAACAACTAATTCAGACTTCGGAGAATTTGACAGTATTAAAGCTGCTTTTGAGAATTTAGGTTTTTTAGGTCTTCGTTTTACATGTACCCAGTAAAAATTTTGGAGTTTTGAATTTTGATTCTCACTAACTACTCAAGAGTCAAGTTATTGAGCATTGTATAAATCGACCCCAACGCCTAGAACCCCAACGGCAAGAATGTAAGAATCGCTTGTAAACATGAGCAGTTTCGAGCATAAACATGAAATTGAAACGAGTAATTTAACGCATCTGATTGACTAAATTCAGGAAGCCAGTCAAGTGTGCGTGTATTTTTTAATACAATTCCGATCAACTCTGCCGTGCAGCACCGGCAGGTACAAAACGCAGGTTGCAGGTTGCAGGTTGCAGGTTGGAATTTTGCAGGTTGGGAATTTTGCAGGTTGGAATTTTGCAGGTTGCCAGGAACTTTGCAGGTTGGAATTTTGCAGGTTGCCAAGAATTTTGCAGGTTGATGATGCAAACTTAAAATTACACCACTATAAAATATTCTAGTCTAATTTAATTGTGTACTTATTGTTTGACTCCTTGTCGGGGCTTTTGATATCAGCCTATCCTGCTGGGGACCGGCTAAATGGAGAGTTATGAAGTGGAGAGTTATCTTGGAGAGTTATGATTTCGGAGAGTTATGGTCGAACAACGCCCAAACCACGCCCACTTTTCCCAACGACCACACCCAATTTATTAATTCTCTCGACATTTCCTTGAACTAACATGAGAGAGTTATGTTTAACGTAACGCATTATGAAGATGTTTGAGAAGCGTTCATGATTGTGGCAATGAAGAGCTCGAGAGTTATGTATGTCATTTTTGTAAATTTACTTTTTTCTCAAGTGTCAGCTTTAACATTTTACGCTAGTAGAAACTAATACTACTTTAGTACTTACCAAGTTCATACATATGTAAATGTTTATATACTTGCTCACTTGGATTATCTAGCAAGCCCAGCATTCAGATACAGCTCTCGTATAAGATAGAAGAACCACAGAACCTTTCCAATATAACTGATAGCTTTGCTATCGCTCATATTCGATGAGAGTGAATGGAATAACTGTTTTATTATATACACAAAGTCTGAATTCATAGACTTTGCTTTTCGGATGTTTTCAATATTTTTCTACTTTGTTTATGTTTTTAGCTTCGCTCTTTTGGCCGATATTTTTTGAAAAATATACATTTTCAACCTTTTTAAATTTTAAAAATTCATTTGCTAACCTGTAAACAATTGGTAGGAGTTTTTTCATTGTGTTTTTAATCCTGTAAGGGCTATAAAAAGCGAACAACTTGCCGTTTTCTCGTTCGAAACACGTCGGAAATTCAGTTTGAGCCGCCATTTTGTTTTTCTCTACTAGCAGGATATGAGCTAATATCCTGCTGGTAGAGAACCAATCAGATTGCAGAATACCTCATATCCAGACCTTGTGTATATAATAACATTATATAGTCTGCGCGCAGACTATCAAATACCTGTCCTTATTATAGGTGTAATCAAATGCCCCACCACTTTAATTAAATTTTCTCGATAACAAATGCCCGCCCCTAGGGAAAATCACGAATGGCAAATGCCCATCTCATGCCCCGGGGGGGAGATGTTTCGCCATCGTTTTGATCGGTGTATTATACATATAGGAGGGGTCAGGGGGAAGATTAAAGTCAACCCTTACCAAACAAGGGTGTTCATTCATCATATATTTTCATTACAGGGTGCTATGAGGAAGTAAGGGCAATATTGTATTATGTATCTATACTTGATTTTTTTGTTGTTTTGGCATAGTTTAGCATTGTTAGGGGGGTGCTAAATGACTACTAAATGGGGTACACACCCTTCGTATCCCTAGTAAATCTGCCTATGATTGAATTCCCCCACTACCTTATGCCAGCACTGTGTATTGAAGCAACAGAAAGTGCAGTACTTTTCAAAATAAAGACTGTTTTTAAAAGCACCTTTTACAAGCTTTTTTTTTAATAAATAGTATTGTACTACATTTATTCAAAATGGAAACTATCAAACCTTTATAAATCACTGAGAGTATTTCAAGGTTAATAAATGATTGATGAGAGAAGCTGATTTGGATTTCCTTTACAATATCACTAAAAAATCACATGATACAATCTTTTCTTTTTACTTTTAGTCGAGTTCCTTAAATCCCAATGGAAAAATCTGGGAGAAAATTTTAAAAGATGTTTAGACAAAAGAAACAGAATGACAAGATCAGGTGCAGGTGCATGCTCATTGCCTACCTGCAGATATTTTCAAAACCTTCTGTTTCTCAAAGACAAGATTGCCAACAAAGAAACGGAAAGTAATGTATCTCTATCCAATCAGAGGCATGCTGTCAGTTTAGAAGATTCGATTATACAAAATATGGGAGCTCTTTCACAGCAACAGTCTATTAGAACACCAAATACAAGGCCGGGCACAGAACAACATGCACCTTTGTTATCTACAACAACAGTTAGTAATAGCACACAGAAACAGGTTCCTACAACTTCAAGCACACAGCAACTGAATAGAAGTGCACCTTTCGCACCTACACCAGATAAACGAAAGAGTGGCTCAAATGAACTATTTTCTGGAACCCCTAAACAAAAAAAAGCTGCACGAGAGGAACTGTCAAATACAGTTGATCTTTTAACTTTGAAACACCTGGATAACTTTAGTTCAGCTGAGAAAGAGTTATTAAAATCAATCAACCGAAAATTTTAAGGAGGAAGATCCTGATATGTTGTTTCTCTCATATCTTGTTTCTCTCAAAGCTTACACTCATCCTTAACAAAGCTACCTAAAAGACAAAATAGGCGTGCAAGGATGAAACTGCAGCAAGTTTTGTTTGAACTGGATGGATCTGATGATGACTTATAAATTAGCTAGGATTTCTAAACAAAGCTTAAAAAGATAATGTACATTAGTTGCGTAAAGTTTTTATTTTATTAATTATTTACAACAACAGGAACATCTACTGTAAAAATAGTACTTATAAAAGTTTAATGATTATGTCTAATATATATTTAAATAAGTTTCTTGTTGTTTGTGTTACCATGGAAATAAAGGAGTTTCTGCTTCCTGTACTTGGAGTGTATGATAAATATAAATACTTGGGTTCATGTGGGTAGTCCCCTACCAACTTTCTGCGAATAAGATAAAAGTTTGTTTATCAAACAATTTTTCTTGCATCAAAGGGATCTGTTGTTGCTGTAACTGCATCAATTTGCCAGGTCACAGCACCTGTAGGAGAATTAAAGTATTCTTTATAATCATCCCGCTCTTGCTGTGCAGACTTTGAAGAGTTGTTTGAACCTCTTGCATTTCTATCAAGTCTAGACAAGCCATCTGTTGCTCCTATCTCCTGTCTCCGCTGTCCGGGTATGACCCTTCCTCTTGTGCCATTTTGGTCGACAAAGTGCTGGGAACAGTAACTGTATGCTTCCTCTTTGCGTTGAGTAATTAGTAAGAAATTATGCAAGGCCAATGTAGCCTTAACAACATTTTTCACAGTTTCTACATTGGCAATTATGGGACGTCTATATGTTCTGAACCTTGTAGCCATAATTCCAAACGAGTTCTCGATAACTCTTCTTGCTCTACATACTCTGTAGTTGTATATTTGTTGCGATAGTTCTGAGATGTTACCAAGATCAGGCTTGATCATATACGTTTTTAATGAAAACGCGTCATCAGCAACAAATACGTAAGGATATGTTTTTGTAGTACCCGAGTTAGAAATAACATCAGCAGGTGCATGGGAATTGCAATATATTGTTATCAATAGCATACCCAGTCACACTATTCGTGTAGACTCCTCCATCACTTTGTCGACCGTTGTCGCCAACATCAATCAGGGTAAATTCGTAATTAGCATTGCATACTGCAAGCAGTACAATACTATGGGTTTTTTATAATTAAAATACAGTAACCCACATCGCGGTGGAGCTTGAATAACGACGTGCTTTCCATCAATTGCCCCAAAGCAATGAGGAAAGTTCCACTTACTATCGAATTCATTGGCAATCGTCAGCCAATTTTGGAGGTGGTTTGGTGGGTCGATAAATTTTCGTTCTTTCAGTACATTCCAAATAACTTTGGTGGTTTCTTTTATTACCCGTCCTACAACTGCTGGACTCATGCGGTAACAGGTTGCCAGTGTCACTTGTGCATAACCTGTGCAAAGGTAACGCAACGTAACACTCAGTCTTTCGTCTGGAGACACAATGTTTTATCTGCGACCGTTCCAGAGGAAAGAGCATGGGAACGAGGTTGCGACCGTTCATCCTTAGTTGAAAGCGACGGTATTCTGAGTCTGCGTTTTACAAATCTCAGTCCGGCCGCGATTTGTAAAACACAGACTCAGTCCGCGTTTTACAAATCTCAGTCCACGATTTATAAAACACGGACTCAGTCCGCCTTTTCCCGGTCCAGTCCAGTCCGTGTTTTACAAATTCAGTCCGCGATTTGTAAAACACGGACTCATTCCGCGTTTTCCCGGTCCAGTCCAGTCCGTGTTTTACAACATACTGAAATAATTACATTATTTTTTATTTTTGGTGTAGGATTGGAATTAATGTCAAGATTAGGATGAGTGTTAGATCATAGTCAGTAGAAAATAAACATGGTTTGGCAGCTTGACAAAAGTCATTGTTCTATGTTTCCGTCCACGTTTACGGAAATTTGTGCACTCGGATCCTGTATAATGAGGCGATTACCCAATAAAAACCTTAGTTCCAATCGCTGAACCGTCATATGTGAATATTAATAAACGCAAGACAAAAGATGTGTGCACTCGGAATTACATTTCTACATCAGTTGAAGTTTAAATAAGAAATTCTTTGAAGTTTACCGGCCTTCCTATTCCTAATCATGTTTATTTCTATTAACTATGGTTAGATAAACGTAAAGATTATACGCTTAGGATTTCAGATAGGATTATGATGAGGATTGTAAGGGTTAGCGCCAGTCATTCTTTCAATGTCGACATCGCTCTATATAGTCTTAAGGTTTGAATCTACTTCTTTCAGTTTACTTTGACTGTGTATTTATTTGATGATTATTAACAAATATATATATGAGTTCTCGTTACTAGTGAGAAATGCCCGCTAAAATTAAACACCGTGTCCGGCAGTATGGAAGTCAGGTAGCTACACTAAAATGGATAAATTGTAACTCTCTATATTGTTTTACAGTACCAACTTTCCCTTGCCATGACTTTGGGATCTCTACGATATGACAAACTATTCGACTACAGTGTTAATTTGGTAGATGAAAAAGCCAAAGTACTTGTGAAGAAGTACTATGATGAACTCCATGGCGAAGTCAACAAGCGAATTATCAAGAGAAATCGCAAGAGGCAGCTGGAGGGCAAGTTCATCTATCCATACTTCATGCCACAATGGTTGACTAACAGCATACAAACATAATAACTTAACTTTTTCGTAAATTTAGACGTTAAAGTGCCTATGACATGAAATTTCACCCCAAATGTTTATGATTGCATTGTAAAGATCACTTAAAATAACTTAATAATTTCTTGTATAGAATTTTGGTAACTTGCTTCCTTTGCAAGATATTCAACTTTGTTTCATATGCAAATATCACCGGTGTGACATCACATAGCATAATGAGATTTTGAAAACGCAATATTTTACCTTGATAAAATATTTTTACAAACAAATACAGAGGGTTAATGACCAATTATGAAACAAATACATATACAAGGGCAATTTTTAAGTTTTTTAGATACGTATTCGTCAAGAAAACTATACTTTTCTGAAAACTCATTATGTGATGTGATGTCACACCGGTGATATTTGCATACGAAACAAAGTTGAATATCTTGAAAAGGAAGCAAGTTACCAAAATTCTATAAAAGAAATTATTAAGTCATTTTAAGTGATCTTTACAATGCAACCATAAACCTTTGGGGTGAAATTTCGTGTCATAGGCACTTTAACTTTGTGTTTTTCTCCGAGCCAACGGTGCGGAGCGCCGTTCCGGGCGTAAGCCCGGGGTGAGGGTACTAATTCCGCTCGGCTATTTAAACCCGGGTATTTGATAGCATAGCGAACTAGTTATCGTGCAAAGCATAGAATAAAGATCCGTATAGAAGGGCCACTTACGTCGGAAGCTTTGAAGTTTCTGTCCTCGCGCACGTCGCATTACGCATGTTGGCCGCCATTTTCCTAGCTAGTCAATGACATTTCCTGGCCAATAAACACGCTGTACTGGCTGGCTGCTCCGCCTTCTGGCCAGTAAACTGCATATTTTTGCATAAAAAGAACGCGGACACGTTTCACCGCTGAGTGGCCCTTCTGTTACTGATCTTTATTCTGTGGTGCAAATTGCAAAGCAGTGAACTCAATCTATTTTACTTTACCTGGAACACAGTAGATACATACAGAGCTGGAACTGGCCGTTGTAAACACTGCGGAAACTTACGGCGTTTTCATGTACCCACTTTTTTCAGGCGACCGGGCAAAAACGATCAACTGCGCGTACTCGGCAAGTTCCGCGAGCAGTTAAAGCGAGTCGCCATCCAATGTGATGCATGCATCTAGTAACTTGACAAGCCTGCGCACAAAAAAAGTGGGTACACTAGTTATAACTCTGTATATGTATCTACTCTGTGCCTGGAACTATAACACTCAGTCATTTGGCACGCTGGCGTTAGCGTGAAGTGGCGTTGGCATTGGCACAGATTAAGTATATACCAGATGTGTAACTTAATAGGACTTTGTGTCCTCAAATTTCCCTAGATGTACACGTCATGCTCACGCCATGACACTTGCTAGCAAATGGCGTCCTGAAAAACACGAACTTGTGCATTTTATTGCGGCTTTTTTGGATCGAATTTTATGGATTAAACAATCAAGAGTATCATTTGTTGAATGTTTAAAGTTGTTGAAAGCAAATAAAGTTGTAGAAAAGGTGTTAAAAGCATTTTTGAAAGCAATGACGTATTACCAAATGACGAATAATCACGCGAGCGACGCTTGAAGATGGCGACCATGAGACAACTTTTTTACTGAAGTTACACATCTGTCCTTACTTAATCTATGGCATTGGCTTCACGTTTCCACAGAGTAGAGACATACAGAGATGGAACTGGCTGTCGCAAACACTGCGGAAACTTGATTATAAATTATTAACTGCGCGTGCTCGGCAAGTTCCACGAGCAGTTAAAGCGAGCCCCCATCCAATGGGGATGCATGCATCTAGTAACTTGCCGAGCGTGCGCACAAAAAAAGTGAGTACACTAGTTATAACTCTGTATATGTATCTACTCTGTGACGTTTCTCTCGCATGTTATCGTTCCAGATAAATGAGATGGAGTTCACTGGTGCAAAGCATTATATTTCATTGGCATTTTAGCCGAAGTCTGCGAGATAAGTCCGCATAACAGCGACTTTTTATAGTTTTTTGGACGAATGATGGTAAATTTGCTTTGTAAATGGTTAGTTTATTTTGAAAAATTGCTTTTCACTTTGTTTTAATTGTCTGCATTGGTTAACGAGAATTAGACGCCACCCAAAGATGGCGGATATTCGTCATCGTGAGAAAGGTTAATTGGCGTCAGCAGGGCGTAGTAAAACACGGGCGTGGAAACGCGCTTATTACCGCGTGATCTATGTGTGATGCGCCAGAGAACTGGCACTAGCGCGCGTTTTGAGAGAAAAGCAAAAAGAAAAGCGAAAACATGGCGGAAAAAAGATTGTTGTGTGACTTTGAAAGCCAGGGCAAAAATAGACGTAAGACCTTTTTTAATGTGAGATTTCTTTGATTAATTTTTAAAAGGAGCATTATTTTATGCTATTAATAAACTTTTTATGTAAGAAGCATCCGACGTATTTGAGAAAATTTCAATTATTTTAATGTGAGGGGCATCAAATTTTATTACTTTACGCACGACAACAGAAATTAAAATCAATGCTGTCTGAACACTAGGTAGGCCTAGATAAATTTGATAGCTTAAAAATGCGTGGAGTTTCTCTGGCTTTAGTACACAATATATACCAAGACCGGCTTTTACCGGCTTTTTTTGCTATGTTTAAATAATTTTCTCAGCGCGTGAGAGCTAAAACATAAAAAGCCTACAAATCGCGGTCAAACTAAAAGTCAGTGTTAACATTGCAACACAATTTTTCAGTAAATTAAATTCTTAAAAAACTTTAGGTGAACATAATTGTTTTCTGAATTTTTAACCCTGTCAGCATAATTTATTTATATATTACTAACACTTTTCTATAAACCCAATAAGAAGTGTCTTTTCAAAGCGGGCAAAAACGTTTCTTTATATACATTGCATTAAAGTTCTCAGTTTACTTTTTTCATGCATGGACAAAAATGTCTTGTTGATATTTCAACATAATGTCTAGCTCATGCATATGAACTATAGCTGTTTACCACAAAATTTACAGTTATAATGATATATAGTATCATATAATTTATGATTTTTACCAACAGAAAGTCGGCTTTTTTGTTAAAACATGGTTTTTCGGCTTGGTATTGACATGGTCGTACATGAAACGACTGTTACTGTTAGCCATTAATTTAGTATGCAGGAAGCGCGGAAAAAAATGTTTCGACTTGTATCCCTTTTCCTAGGTGAAAAACTTTGCCTGAAATTTTGCACAGTTATTAATAAAGTTATGGAAAATTGATTTTTATTAAAACGAAGACCTGCTTTTTTGTTAAAATACAACTTTTCGGCTTGGTTTTGCCATGGTCTCACTCGAAAGGACAAGGTCAATGTAGCCATGTTTGGCCATGAAACTCAAACCGCGGAAAAAATATTTTTATTTGTATCTTTTTTTCCTAGATGAAAAACTTTGCCTAAAAATTTGCACAGTTGTTGTCAAAGCGATTTAAAATCCATTTTTCTTACTAAAAGAAGACCGGCTTTTTTGTTAAAACATGATTTTTTCACCTAGTTTTGATCTGGTCTCACATGAAACGACGAAGGTACTGTCAGCCATTTTTACTCATGAAACACGAAGCGCGGAAAAAAATGTCTCGACTTGTATCTTTTTTCCTAGGTGAAAAACTTTGCCTAAAATTTTGCACAGTTATTAATAAAGTTATTGAAAATCGATTTTTATTATAAAGAAGACCGGCTTTTTTGTTAAAACACAACTTTTTGGCTAGATTGGCCATGGTCTCACTCAAAAAAACAAGATCAATGTAGACATGTTTGGTCATGAAACTCAAACCGCGGAGGCCATGATCAACTAGGCCATGATCATGTTTCGTATTTTAACTCTTGCCGTGTCTTTCTTTTCAAATGTTGATATTCGAATGAGGATTTCCAATATTCGAAAACCTACGGGGAGTCCGCGCATCACACATAGATCAGGGGCATCGTTTCCGTTTCCACGCCCGTGTTTTATAGCGCCCTGGCGGAATCCGCATCCGGAATCCGCGTTTTATCCTCAAATGCGGAATCCGCATTCGCGTTTTATCCCAACCCAAACTCAGTTTGCAGATCTCGCTGTTTTCCAAAACGTGCGGATCGTCATCTGTCTATCTTAAAATATAAGGGTAGGTCTATATTGGGGCCACTATTCTTCTTACTCTATATTAATGATCTACCTGCATGTCTGAGTAAAACAAAACCACGGCTGTTTGCTGATGATACAAATATCACAGCAGCTGGAGAATGCTTAAGTGATCTTGAAGATGCAGTAAACTCAGATTTAGAAATGCTTCGTAAATGGCTCATGGCAAACAAACTGAGCTTGAATGTGGCGAAAACTGAATTTCAAATTATTGGTACTAAACAGATGCTGAAGAAAGCTTCTGTTCAGCAACTTAAAATTCACATTCAAAACATACCCATAAAGCAGGTTTTTCAATGTAAAACACTGGGTGTGACTGTTGATGAAAATTTGTGTTGGAAGAGCAATACAGATAATATATGTAAAAAGATATCATCTGGAATATACGCTCTTAAAAGCATTAAAGAATATGTTGATCAAAAAACACTCGTTTCCGTATACAATGCTATAATTCAACCATACTTTAGCTACTGTTGTGAAGTTTGGAATATATTTGGTGAAACGCAATCCACGCGTCTCCAAAAACTTCATAACAGAGCTGCTCGTGTAATAGCATGTGTGCCTAATGAGGTAGATCAACAAACTGTGCTAAATATATTAGGATGGGAACCACTCAAGGAACAAAGAGTGAAAGCAAAGGCAAAAATAATGTTTAAAACGCTAAATAACATGGGGCCAAATTGTCTCAAAGAATTATTTACTTTCAAAAAAGAAATATTAAACCGCAGTCTTCGTAACAGCTCAAGTACCATACGTTTGCCCAAGCCAAACACAAACAATATGAAAAAGAGTTTCATGTATGATGGAGCTTCCATATGGAACTCTCTTCCAAAAAATATAAGAGAAAGTAATTCGCTCTCAAGTTTTAAAAGAAAAATCGCTACCTATAGCTTATAAAGAAAACCACATCATTGTAAATAGCAAACTTTTTGTATATATTT